GGGGGGGGGCATTCAGCTGCAACGTGACACTTCCCCACTAGATGTCACTAAATGCTACACACTGCACCTTTAAGGGGCTGATGGGAGCCGGCACACGTTCTGGGTTTCAGTGATTTGAAATGACCTGAAACTGCATCATGAGCTGATGAGAGCTCGTAACCACGGTAACAGCAGAGAGGAGTGCGTGAGGTCAGTCACAGTGACGTCACAGTGACATCACAGTGACATGATCGGAGTTTGATGCATCAAACCTCCGGCACCAGGATTCAAACCAGCAACTTTTAAACACTTCCTCTTCTCTTTCACAATAAAACATCTGTCAGAAAAACCCGCCTGAGGTGACGTCACCACCTCCTCCTCCTCCATCACCACCATCATCATCATCATCCTTTCCGTGCACGTGTCATCCTACCTGTGTCTGCTGGCTGCGCGGCCTCCGTGCGCGTGCCCGCCGGTGTACAGGCTGTAGGAAGGTCGCAGCGGGAACGCGCTCTTGGCGTGTCCGCAGGTCCAGAGCGCGAGCAGCAGCAGCGGGAGCGCGGCCATTGCGCTGATCAATAAACAATCAATACACAATCAATACTGCGATCGATCCTCTCATCTCCATGGAGACCAGATCCGTGTCCTCCAGGTCCGGTTCTACTGATCCATGATCCGGATTCTGGTCCAGACTCAAGCTGCTCCGGTTCGAGTCCCGCTGCTCCTCCTCTGCAACGTTAGTCCGGTTTAATCCCCCTTTAATCCGGTTCAATCCCAGTTTAATCCGGTTTGATCGGTGAGGTTCGGTCTGAGTTTGTTCATCAGAACTTTTCATGTGAAACAAAGAAAACGTTGCGACAGATTGAAGCAGCTGCTCCTCCTCTTCATCACCCCCCCCACCCCCCCACCCCAAACTGTCCCCGCCCCTCCCACAGGAGAAACCAGACACGTGCGCGTCTGCAGCCTCACCTGCTGATCCAGGACCTGGTCCCGGTTCTGATCCTGGTCCTGGTTCTGGTCCTGGTCCGGATCTCCAGTCTTCATCACGGTCCTGGTCTCATCACTGAGTCCTGATCTTGTCCATCACTCTTTGTCCAAGCTGTAAGTTTAATCAGTGACATGTTTGTGAGAAATATCACGTTCAAATAAACATTTACACAAATTAAAGCTCCAAACGAATCAAACACAACATTTAACATGTGAGGATGAAAATGCAACAAGTGACCGGATGTACAACAACAACAGATAATCCGAAACATATTCAATTAAATGATGAGAAACTGGATTTTAAAAACTTTAAAAAGTTCTTGAGTTTGTTTTTTCTTCATGTTTTAAACCAGATTTTCAAAAATCTAAAGATTCTTGATGGTCAGTCAATAATAAATTCATTATTTTAAATGAAATGATAACTGAGAGTAAAAGTTAAACTCATGTGACTCTAAAGAAGATTAAACTTTGTCTCCGTTTCTGTTCAGTGACTTTTCACCTCCACTGGAAACTTCCTCAAGTTAAAGGATGTTTCATATCAGCTTCTCCTAAAATAACCACACACACACACACACACACACACACACACACACACACACACACACACACACACACACACACACTGATGATAACAAACTGTCTCTGGAAGCTTGTTGTTCACTGGGTGTGTTTGATTTGTGTCACTGAACATTTCCACTGGGTGGGGCATTAAATCACAAATTCTTTGACCTTGATGTAAATTTTGTTTTTTGTCCACAGTGAAGTAAAACATTACAAACGTTCAAGGCTTTATTTCTATGAACTGCTGAGGCCCGGCTCCGTCAGGGGCCCTACAGACCCTCAGGGGCCCACAGACGCTCAGGGGCCCACAGACCCTCAGGGGCCCACAGACCCTCAGGGGCCCCACAACCACAGCAGCCGTGATAAGATTTTTATTTATGGTTTTATTATTGAGACAATTTGAAACTGAAAGCAGATTGATCATCCCACTCTTGAACCTGGGGCCTACATTACCCACAATGCACATGGACGACTCAGTGATTTGGAACATGAAGAATAATTCAGATGAATCCGTCTTTTCAGAATAAAATCTAAACGTGAAGAAAACAATATGTGAACAAAAATAAAGTTTCTTTTCACAATAAGAGCGTCAGAGTGAAACAGTGGAAACTCTCTTTATCAGACCCCCTACCCCCGCCTTCCTCCCTGTGTGGAGACGGACCACCCAGAATGCATCACTTCACTCACCCTGGCTGTTTCACTGTTTGGACTTTATGAGGCCGTTTTAAAAGAAGCTGTTGTTTTAATGACAGAGTCACATTCCACAGAGGAAACCTCAGGTGAGAAACAACAGCAGAGATTTATCACCAGCTGCTGCAACTCTCACCCACTCAAACCTTATTCTGAAAATCTCACACACACACACACACACACACACACACACACACACACACACGACATCATGAAATCAATACTGATCAACTGGGTTTGATTAAACTCACGTTGACTTCGCTGCTGAGACGTCGTCTGTCCTCATGTGACGACCTCCGACTCGAGGGAAGTGATTGTTTCAGAAAATATCTTTCACCTTTAAAACATTTTCATCATCAAACAACAGCACATACATGACACATACATGTAACCCTGAACCTGTCAACATGACTTTTATCTGTTTTTCGATCTTTATCTTTTTTTATTCACATGTGATCTGTCGACTCTCGTTTCACATTGGAAACATGGAAACTGTGACGTGGTGTTTTTGTTTCCATGTTTTGATGGAAACTGTTTCTGCGAGGACGCGGCTCCGTGCCTGTCAGTCCACACTGAGGGACAAACAGGTGGGTGCCAGTCACTGCTGCAGTGCCTCTGAGCAACACGCTGACAGAATCAATCAATGACCTGATGAACTGATCACGTAGCATCGCTCGGCTCCTCCTCTGTCATCGGCCTGCAGGCGATCACCTGGGTGAGTTATCTCATCAGCTGATCACCTCACAGATCAATAAAGTCTCCACTGATTGGTTTTTAACAGCGGTCGTAAAACACAGACGAAGGCTTTTATTTTGATATGATCCTAACTGGTCAAAGGTCAGAGGTCAGAGGTCAGAGGTCATTCAGATGTGGACCGAAAAACGAATTTTCCAAGACACGCCCCAAAATAACAGACAATCTGAGTACAGGGTTCAGTTGATCAGAGGGACTGATGTGGAGCAATGGAAGATCAGGTCTGTGTGGATCAGGTCTTTGTGGATCAGGTCTGTGTGGATCAGGTCTGTGTGGA